TACGGTTTCCAAACCATCCATCTAAATTGAGGTGAACCGAACCACACATTAACCCGATGGTGCGCGACTTGCCAGTGGGAAATCACCTTTAGAAGTCTTCTTCACACTTACAGAGTTCAACATTATTGTATCCATATATCAGATCTCTGTTATTGTTCTGTGCATAATGGCACACTCCCGCTGTTGAATGCAATACCTTAAAACCAGCAGACATGCATTCATACCTTGTCAAATAAATGCAAATAAATTGTCTTCCTTGTTCTGATTCTGTTGCAGCTGGGTGGAGGCTGTGAGCTAGCCATGATGTGTGACATCATCTACGCTGGAGAGAAGGCGCAGTTTGGCCAACCAGAGATCCTGCTGGGGACCATCCCAGGTAAAGACCTCTTTCTGTCCTACGTGGATCTTACAGCGCTGTTGTTTTTGACTCTGCGTGACTGTTTTACCTGCAGGGGCGGGAGGCACCCAGCGCCTGACTCGTGCTGTTGGCAAATCCCTGGCAATGGAGATGGTACTAACAGGAGACAGGATTAATGCTCAAGAGGCCAAACAGTCAGGTAATGGCAACATTATATGGTCACTTTATGAACAAGATGTAGTGATCAGGCTTTACTTGATCTACATCGGTTTCTGGTTTTGTATTCACTTTTACCAAGGACTAAAACACACCATTTAAACTTGAGAAAAAGAGTACAAGATTACTGAAAGACTAATACAAGTTAGGATCTCAACTCCCTCTGTAGAAAACAATAACTACAGCTCTACACAAGACCAGAGACACATTCAAGCCAGACTGAAGTATGCCAAGGACAGACTGGAAAAATATCATGCTTACTGGAAGCATGTTTTTGGCTCAGAATAAAAGAAACTAGAGCTCTTTGCCCATAGAGACATTGCTTATATTTGAAGAAACAATAGGGAGGCCTGTTACCGACAGTGTAACATTGTAGTGGCTTAAGATCCTAACTCTGGATGTGTAAAACCTGTCAAGTTATGCGTTCTTCAGTGCTGGTAAAGAAAACTGGCTCCTGCCTGACTTGAATCTGTCCGAGTATCAATGCAAGGACCTGAAGATAAAGAGTCATGCCAGAGGAACATCAGATGTGAAGGAGCTTGGAAGTGGTGGAATGAATCCAGTTTTGTTTGTAAAGTAAAATAATGCAAACATCAAAAATTACCCATGGCAGTTTGTACAACCTCTGCATTAAAGGTCTTCTCATCTCTGGATAGTTGTGTAAACGTCAGTGGTTATAATTCAGTAGCTTGTAGAGTATATAAAATTAAAAAGTGACTTAGATTTTTGGATATAAACTATAGCGTTAACATAGAAGCTAAGTCAGCTAATGTAACTACTGATTACTTAATCATTTTTTTATTCATCTGAATGACCCGCAGAGAGTCATATGTGATGCAACATATAATACCAGATGTACAATGAAGCATATTCTATGGTTCATTTTGTGTGTTTTCAGGTTTGGTGAGTAAAATTTATCCTGTGGACCAGCTCATATCTGAGGCTGTTAAATGTGGGGAGAAAATTGCTGCCAATTCCAAACTGGTCAGCGCCATGGCTAAAGAAGCTGTGAATGCAGGTATGTGAAGAATGTATTTATCTTCACATAAGTCTGAATCATTAGCTTTATTTAACTGGATCCTCTGTTGAACTGCAGCTTATGAACTGACTTTGGCTGAAGGAAATCGCTTGGAAAAGCGTTTGTTCCACGCTACCTTTGCGACGGTAAATATAGAAAAGCCTGTTTGGTGATCAACTGTGAGTGTTAACTCTGTCTCTAACAGCTGATCAATGATGTTTAAATCCGATTTTGTCTGCAGGATGACCGTAAGGAAGGCATGACTGCATTTGTGGAGAAAAGAAAAGCCAATTTCCAGGACCAGTAAATAAAAAGTTCAAAGGAGATCATTGGGTTTTGACAATCAGTTGATCACTCCCTCACTGGTAATGAATTGTGTAATACTGAGATCCTGATTGTATATCAGCTGAAAATTACAAAAAAGTGAAGTGAAAAGTGTCCTATCATAACCTGCTGGGGCAAAGTGTTAAGAAAGTGCTGTCTTGGATCAGGAGACATGACTGTGATGGTGATTTGAAAACTGTTTTACAGTCTGTAGGTACAGGAAGGATGGAGCTGGATGAATAATTTGTACTAATTCTGCCTTTTCATTTTTCAAATGTTTGTAGCAGTTTATTGTGTGTGTATTTTGTGAATACAGCTAAATAACAATTTTAAACACTAATTATTGTGTGGGGATTCTTGAAAAATGTTAAGATGTTGATGTAGTGTGTTCCATAGTTTTCATTAGTATCACCTTAGCTGTGATGGTAAAGTAGCATGCGATTTTTGCATTGTCTACTCTAGACCTCTTGGTGGAGCTGTTTTAAGGCTTTACGTGGAAGGTAAATGCGGATTGTGAATTTTATTTTTCTAAGAAAAGCAGTTTGTTTCGGTCAGGGATGTTCAAAGTCGATCATGAAGGGCCGCCGTCCTGCATGTTTTAGTTCTCTCTGTGGTTCACACACCTGAATCAAATGATGGTCCATTAGCAGGTCTCTGCAGAGCTTAGACATGCTGAGAAGGTTGTTACCAGGGTGTTGACCCAGAGAAAGGAATAAAACATGCAGGACACACTTTGGACATCCCTGATTTGGGTCATATCAGACAACTTATGAAAACAGCGTGATGAACGAGTGAATTTGTCTAAAAATTGATTAGATTTGCTGCCGTACAACGGACTGGCTACATGTCCAGGGTGGATCCCGCGACTCGCCTAATCATTGCTGGAGATAACGGAGGTGGGTCCAAGTCACTGTTTTGCAAGTCTCAAGTAAGTCTCAAGTCTTTGTCCTCAAGTCCGAGCCAAGTCGCAAGTCGAGTCAAGTCTCAAGTCAAGTCAGGCAAAATTCAAGTCAAGCCTCAATTTGTCAGCTTGAAATTTCAAGTCCTTTCAAGTCTTTTTTTTTTTTTACGTTTTTAAACAACGCTCCAATGCTAAATGTAAAATTAAAGCTGCAAGCAGCCTCGAGTGGTCCTCGCAGCAAAGTGCCGCTCCGGCCTACAGACGCCGCGGGCTTTTCAGCTCTGCCGCCTACCAGCGACAGCGGACGCTCTCGTTTACTTTCCGCACCTGTCCACAAGGCCGTACACATTGATGAGTTCATTGATGATGCGTGTATGATTTAGAGACGACCATATGTGTTTCTCCGTCGATAATTAATTGGCCTCTCTAAATTGTCCCTAGGTGTGAGTGTGTGTGCATGGTTGTTTGTCTCTCTGTGTTGCCCTGTGACAGACTGGCGACCTGTCCAGGGTGACCCCGCCTCTCACCTGGAACGTTAGCTGGAGATGGACACCAGCAACCCTCCCGACCCCATTAAGGGAAAAGAGTGTACAGAAATGGATGGATAGATGGAGAGGCGGGGTAAAAAAAATTTTACCAACTTAGTAAATTTCCAAATTTTTGTTGTCTGAAGATATCCATTGCGCTGTAACTGCAGAACTACTGATCTTCAAAGAGAACCACCAGAACCAATTTGGTTAAAGTGTGCTTTCTGCTGCTGCACCAATGATCAGGAGGCATCTTTTCTCTCTCTAATCTTCACACGGTGGCGCTTCATAACTAAACAAGCGATGGCCTAATTGTTTTTTTTTAAATTATTATTATTATAATTCAATATTACCCTGGATCTTGCCCACTTGTCAACACCTCTAACAAAACATTTAAAAGGAATAGGAAAAAAAAAAAAAAAACTTGTCTTCTCACTCTGCAGGAAAGCACAAAAGAACACTGAGAGGAGCAGAAAAGGAGCTCCTCTTTGAGGCTGCCGAAAGGTCAAAATAATAAATGTAGACTTAAATGAGGCTCTCCGTGCACACAAAGGGGGCAAAACGTTGCAATTTGGCAGTCCAGACCCTCATAGCGTGATAAACTCATTTAAAGAAGCCGAAATAAAGCAAGAGCAGCATGGGTCCATAGAGGGAGAAGAGGCTTTCAGATTTGGCAGACAGGCCTGACTCCTGCGAGGTTCTTTTTTTCCTGCTCAGCAGCCTCAAATCACTTCCCCCAAAGTCACTTTTATTTCCCAAAATAACACAGCAGCTGTGAGATTTAGTCACATTGCTGGCTCTATTTGAGCCTCTATGGACACGATTAGGTCAGTGTTCAAACTACAAGCCATAGTGAAAAATACAGAATCATTTTTCCAAAAAGAGGTTTAGTCTGTTGTTTTACTTTGCTGCAAAAAGACCCCAAAATAGAAGACTTGTAGCTATTTATGTCTGAACATATAAAAAATATGTGCATATTTTTGTTATCTACATTTTTCAGTTCAGGGGAGAAAAACTGAATCAAGAACAACCAATGTAGTTACTACTTTACAACGTTGCAGCTTAAATTGTGAGGCAAAAACGTTAACATATTTTAATTGGATTTTATGTGACCAACACAAAGTAGTTCTCACTAGCTGTGAACCACAGTACAAGCAAATGTTGCTACTGTGTAAGGCTCCCTGCTTGCCTGTGGGGCTCAGGAGAACCTGAACTGGCTCAGGACTTGTCAACAAATGCAACAGTAATAAACATACTTCGAAAAACCTCCTACGTGTGAAATTTGCTAACAGAGTCATTTAAAGCTGCTTTTGATCTTTTGCTGCACCTGTCTGACCTGGAAAAAGATGCATACTTAGATTTTGTGTATTCATAAGCATGTAATGGTGATTTTTTTTCCTGTGGCTACTTGTGAGAGCAGCATTTAAAAATAATCTTAAGCTGCATTTTTTAAAGAAAATTAAATTCTGCTTTTCACTAATTCAATGTGTGAGATTTTGTTTCAGTAATAAGTTTTAAAAACTTTTACCAATCTTCACCAGAAGTGCCAAAAAATATAAACGGCATTTTTCTGTATCTAAACAATAAACATCTTTCTGCTGACTAAAGAGGCTCCTGACAAGAATATATATATATTTTTTATATTTTTGCTTGTAGTTCATTTTCTGGCCAGTAGGTGCTGTAAAGCTAAACAAAGACGGAAGTAGATGCAGGGAAATCCTCTCGGTTCGCTTCAGTTTCTGCTTCTGTGAATTCTACGCTGTTCGGGTTGCAGGATGGTGGTTCTGAAGGGCATCCCCTCTGTTTTATCACCCGAGCTGCTGTATGCGCTGGCCAAAATGGGCCACGGGGATGAACTGGGTATGATCCACAGCTCTATTTGTGTAATTCATGTCCTGCGTGGTTGCAACCTGTGTTTGAACTGTAAGGGGTCAGAAAGCTCTTAATGTCAACAACAGTGAAACTAATTTCATGTTTTATCATCTTCAGTACTTGCAGATGCCAATTTCCCTGCGTCTTCTATTTGTGCCTGTGGTCCTAAAGAGATCAGAGCTGATGGTATGGTGAAGTGAAAACATCATACCAGAGTGTGTTACTAGTCTGTTGTTTTAACTATGACTCATTCTGGTTTCAGGTCTGGGAATCCCACAACTTTTAGAGGCGATTTTAAAGTTGTTGCCCTTGGATACCTACGTCGACAGACCGGTACAGGGCCCACACATGCATGTCAAAATCAGAGTTTAATCTCCAGCTATTTTGTATTTACAGTACCATGACGTTTTATGTTGCATCCTTATTCCAATTCTAATAAGGAGTTCTATGTGGAATTTCCTCCAAATTCTACATGGAATAACCCATAATTATAAAACGGAAAGATTTTTTTAAAAGAAGTTACATATAAGTATTCACTGCTGCTTCAATTCAGTATTTATTAGCACAGAGCTATTTGACATTTCTGACTAATTAATTACACAATTGTTGGACACCACACTAGAAAAAAGTTCTGCACACATTATCTGGGTGGAACTTTGGGGCATTCAGTGCTGGGGGAGTTTTGTTCTGTCCCTTTAAATATGCGTTTTTACAAATGAGTCTCTGAGGTCTATGACCAGTCCTTTGTTCTGCTTTTTTTGCTTTTTTTGGTATTTTCTCTGGGATTTAGAGGGGCTTTTTGAATTAAACTCATTTTGGAATAAGGCTGTAACATAGCAAAGAATATCACACGTTAAATTTGTTGCCGACAGGCAGCAGTCATGGATCTGGTAGACAGCGACAAACAGAGATGTTTAGCTGTCCCAGTGTGGGACACTTATGCACAGCTCCTCAGCCGGGCAGGCTCACAGGTATGACACTAATTACCTATGGGCTGATCTTAAAACAAAATAAGTTTTTACTGATTGTTCACATGCAGAGCTCTCTGGAGAAAATGGAAAGATTTAATTTCTACGAACGAGCTAAAAAGGCCTATGCTGTCGTGGCAACAGGGTGAGTATTTTTTTTTTTTCTGCTTTAACTTAAACGTGGTGGGGGTGTCCAAGTGCTGTCCAGAAGAGCTGGTGTCCTGCATGTTTTAGATTCGTTCAATTCTTTAACATCTTCAACAATTTCAAATTATTTACAGTCTTTTTAATTAAAAATAATATTTTTTTCTGAAACTTTAAAACATCTTAAACATGAATACGTTTTGTGGGAAAGCTCAGGGGCTCGAAGATCCATTTTCCCTCATCCCATTCTTATTTATTTATTTATTTATTTACTTATTTCGGATTTTGGCCCTCAACTCCAAAAATTTTAAAGTCTAGACCCAAGTTTTTTGTTTTTCTTTTAAGAATTGTTTGATATTTTTCTGTGTTTTGTTTTTGCTCAGGGAAACTGCTCTCTATGGAAACTTAATATTGAAGAAGGGAGTCATTCCTGCTGAGATGCTGCAGTGAAGGAAACATGGTTTTGCCAGAGGCTCCAATTTTTCATATTTTTTAGGAATCTGAAACACAAATTTAATTATTTTCTGTTAAAATAAAAAAAAAAATACATATACATGGTTATTTTGGGTTGAGTTTTTATTCAAAGCTCAGAAAAAAATAATACTTTATTGTTCTACAATTAATATGAAAAATATGTTTTAATTGCTCTCATATACAGTAGATATGACTTTATCTCTCCTCTACGCCTTCTCTCCTTATCTTCATCAAATTAAACCTGAAGTCTCTCATGATTGCATACAACGTTTCTATCAACATGAAATGTAAAAGAGATAGTGATTGATTTGTTACTGTAAAGCAGTTTAACAGAATCAAATTACACAGATGCGTCTGTGTGTTGCATCTGACATGTTTTAAATTAATACTAAGCCTGGATTACTGGTGGTAGAGTCCATCCAGATCTTCCTCTGGCTTGGTGTATTTCCTCTGAGAGGGAATGTCGACCGGAGCCTCAGCTACCTTTTGTTGAAGGACTGGCATGTCAAACCTTCTATGGTAAAGATCATCCAGATCTTCCTCTGGCTCGGTGTACTTTCTTTGAGAGGGAAGGTCAACAGGAGCAGCAGCCTCAGCTACGTCTCGTTGAAGGGCAGGTAAGAGGGGCTCTTTGTGGTAAGTGTCATCCATGTCTTCCTCAGGCTGCAGATAAACTACCTGCTCCATCTGTGCAGGCGAATGCTGGTCGTCTTCCTTCCCTTGAGCTTGGTATCCAAACTCTCTGACCTGAGCTTGGAGCTCGACTATTGAAGGATGGTAAATCTCATCCAGATCCTCCTCGGGCTTCAGGTAGTGTTTCTCCTGTCCGCTGTTCCAGATCCTCATACGAGGGTCGACCTCATACTCAATCCTGTCCATGTCCTCTGGAGGCTCCACCTCTGCTCCCCAGGACAGCTTCCCTTTGTCATCAATGAACCTGTAAAAATGAACATGCAGTGTCAGCCTTCGTCTGAAGAATCCACTGAGTTTTGTACTTTTGGTTGAAGATGTCAACTTACACAACCCTTTGCTCCAAGTGTTCATCTGAAGGTTTATTCTGAAGAGGAGAGCAAATATTAGACATCCATCACCAAAGGAAAAAGCTTTTAAAGTTTGTGTGATTCAATCTGATCTGAACCTAAACAGCACGTTTACATACCAAGGGCTTTGCATTGACACTTAGCATCAGCAAAACGCCGACTATGATAGAAACCCTGTGTGTGAAAAGACTGTAGATTAATTCAAATTCCAGTATAGTTCAAATAAAAGCCAGGAATATGTTCAAGAAATTTGTAACGTACTTACCGAATCATGGTGTCTGCTTCTGCTGTCAGCTTTGCAGTGAGGAACGCTTCCCTTCGTTCATCTGCTATGGAAAAAAAAAAAAAAAAACGAGCAAAGTCCCACCAATAAAACCTGCTGTGTTTTCTTGACCTTTGTATTTTGCTTAACTCGGTGAGGGCATTTGTGAGTAATTCATCATCGTTTATCTGGTCTATATCACGCACCTAAAACAGCTTATGTGAACCACTGATCAGTTTCAAGCTCTGTGTTGTTAATTTTTCTATCCAGAATAGCAACAATGCATTTATGCAGTATTTGATCTTATAAAAGACATGATGTATTATGACTAGGCTTCCTTATCAGGATAATTGTGATGACAGCTCATTTTATATCAGCTAGTTTTATTATACACACGTGTATAAATGATAAATATGTCCTCACCACTGCTCAGGATCTTTGAGTCCAACACAGTTGTTATTGTTTTATGAGGGAATTATAGCAATATTAAAAACATTATGGATAGCACTAACCATCCTCGTCATTAGACTGTTATATAACGACATGGTGTCTTCAGTCAGAGGCTTCTTCAGATTCACTGTATTACAGACTGCTACATGATATCATTCCTGCCCACAGTCATCACTCATCACTATCAATTCTTTGGAGAAATTTGAATGACATTTTATTTCTCTTTGTAGTTCATAAAGTATTTTTTTAATTTATTAAAGAATTATTGCCCAGCACAAAGAAAAGAAAACAAAAGTAGAAATGTGAACATAAGACAATATTATTAAGGAAAACTGTACATGAAAGGCTGTAGGAATTGCAGTGCAATCTTGCTTTACTTTCCACCACCATGCTTTGAAAATTCCCCCACGGGGTTGAGGAATGAGGAGTGCAGTGAGAGGAACTCCATCAGCATCCAGTTGTGGGTCACAAACCATTGCCTGATGATGTTGGAGCGATGGAAACCGGCATTTGTCCCCAGTTAATGGTTCATGAGAGCTGCAGTTTGCTGATCCCTGATGTAGAAGATGAAAACTGATTCTGTCTCAATACAGCCAAAGCTGAAGGGCAACAGCTTCATTTCAAAATAATTTTTAAAGTAAAATTGTGAAGGTAAACAATTTAATTAGTCCAAAGAACCAAATAGCTATGGTTTTCATCCTAAAAAATTGATTTAGTATTGTGTCTTCAGTACAGGGGGCAGGACTAGTTCTGCAGGGACCGGGGCCCCAGCTGGCCCCTGTCTAGAACCGCCCATGAGTATATGTTTACTGTATCTCATGTACAGACACAAAACGTTTTATGTGTGACTGTGTGATACAGGAAATAAAAATACCTTTTTATTATCTTTTAACTGTAGTTAAAGTGTATGATATTAGCCGTGGTGTGTAGTTAATAATAGCGCCGAGTTTATGAATGCAGCTGTCACGTTTCATTGTAACAAAGCCGTCTCTGTTGGTAAAGCAACAAATAGAGAACATATTATTTAACAGGTGGCAGTCAGCCGGAGACAGGAGGCTCCACGCTAAACCTCAGCACAGTTTGTAAGGCTGTTTGTCATAAAAGAGAAGGAAAAGCATAAAAGGAGCTTCAGCTTTCTAAAACAATAATCTGACACCTCATCATGAGCATCATTACTGTCAGTAAATCCCATAAAGGTTGTCCCGCAGCACAGGGCTCTATTTGAGGCTAACCACAGCTCTGCCTGTTCACTCAGTCTGCAGTCAAATCCGCCCCCCCTCCCCACCCTCATAACAGTTGGAAAAGCTGCGGGTTTTCTAAATAACTGAAATTATCTCAATGATCTGCAATTAACTTAACGGATGCCTCACCAACATTCATTAAACACACATCAGACATCTAATGGAGTTTAGAGTTATAATTAAAGAGCGTGAGGGAAGGACCTCCATGGAAGAGCAGAGATAATAAATCTAGCGATTCTAAAGCTTTTAACATTTTGATTTTTAGTGAAAAATGTGTTTCTGCGAGGGACTTGGGGTGCGTAAAAAAGAGCAGTGTGATGATACAGATAGCCTGAGATCTGGAGCCGTCTGATGACTTCATATAATTAGGTAACAACAGGAGATGGATCAGGGGCAGCAACGCTCTACAGCAGACAGACACAGGAGGCTGATGACAGGGTAGTAGAGATTATTTGTTGGAGGGAGACACATAAGAAGGTGGTTCATCTTTTTGTTCGCTGCAGCTAATCCTTTACACGGCTTTGACTCTGTGTTTTGCCCATGGAAATAGCATATTAAAGATACAATTGAGAAGGAAAACCTCAGGTGGTCTTTCTCAGTTTCTTCCCCCATACAGAAACGAGTCAAACAACCTTCTCCTCTCTCAGACACACCCCTCATAAACACAGTAAACATGTGGGAGCTGTTAAAGTAAGTCTAATGGCTATTTACCGTGTTTTGTGCACTTCTCATTAAAAAGATTTTCCACTTGAGGAGAGCTAATGTTTTGGAAAACTCTATTAAATCAAACACACTTCATGCCAATAAGCGGCACATGTGGCTCTCTTCAGTAATTTAAAGGATCTACCAACCACTGGAAAAACAAGGGAAACCACAGCCTATTTTCTTCACAAAACCTCGTCTTTAATCACATGTTTGTATAGACACGTATAGAATGCTTTTAAATTTTTAGCCTGTTACGCCTAATAGTTTCTTGCCTTTGTATCTCATGTCAAATCCAGCATCTAAACAGCTTAATAATTTGTGCACTGTATTCGTAAGGAAATTTGACCAAGTGTCAACACGGAGCTGAATTTGACAGATTAAAACACGCCTCTAAAGATAAAGCATAATATTGCCATTTTTTAAATATTGAAGTCACCTACACTCACCAGCCACTTTATTAGATGAACCTTTGCTGGTACAAGGTTGAGGTTGGGCCCATTTTGCATTGAGAACTGCCATAATTCGATAAAGCGTAAATTTGAAAACAGAAAAACGTGTCAGAAAAATTTGTTTTATATTGGCTTCACATCATGCTGCAGATTTGTCATCTTCACGTTCATGTTGAAAATCTCCCGTTTACCTGTTGGGTTAAGATCTGGTGACTGCGGAGGCCATTGAAGTGCAGTGAAGACCTTTCATTGTCTAGAAACTATTTTGGTCTGATTTGTGTTTTGTACTGTGGAGTTTCTGGCAGAAAGTATAGATCGAAAAAGTTTCTTCTCTGTGCTCATACGAGAAGAATCATGATTATCAACATTGCTCAGGTAGGATGTGGCGTTTAAAACATGTTCAGATGATAATAAGGGTCCTCAAAAGACAAATGGACTGAGCTTATATTACTGCTTTTTCAGTCATACTGACTCCTCAAAACGCTGTACACTAGCACCACATTCACACTCACAAGCACAGACACTCTTCTATGCTGAAATGCAGATCGGTTGGCAACTTGGGGCTAAGTGCCTTGCCTAGACATCTGAGTGCTGAAAATGAAGTCAAGATTATTTGGACCAGGGAACTTTTTTTTCCTTCATTTTTTCCCTTGTTTAATTTTCATGAGTCTCTGTGAAATGCGACCTTATTTTCCAGCTCTTTTCTGTCAGACGATCTTTTGCTGGTGCAGGCCATCTGACCTTTCTCAACAAAAACACAAGTCATATTTATCACGCTCAGATGTCTAAAAGTCGAGTTGCTACTGTGGGACTGATTGAATCACTATATGTGTTTACAAGTAAACAAACAGGTGCATCTAATAAACTGACTCATGCATAATTTAAGTTTTCCGCAGTAAATAAACCAGTAAAGTGAACAAATGTGGGCTTTTGGGAACCATACAGGCCACTATGACGGGGTTGGTATCGACATACAGGACAGAACTGAATCTAAATGTCTGACTAGAGAGAAGTAATAAATCCCAGGGCAAATACAGATGTTGCACATGCAGTTAAATATAAATTCCTAGAAAAATTACTTGATTATGTGTATTTCATTATGTGATACAGCACAGTTTTTATTAGGGTTTACCATGCTGTCAGAAACAAACTTTATTATGTAGAATTAATTCTTCAGTTGGTGCATGATGATGTAAAAGTAACATTTGTTTTCTTAAAGCACCTTAAAATGTATGTCTGCAGGGTGTGTGGGTTTTCTCACATTACGCTGTTGTGTTTCCACAGGTAAAACATCAAAGCTGAGATTTGAGTAAAAGTATTTTAGTAGAACACAAAGTAGTGCATAATAGTGCAGTGAAAGGCAAATTACACATAATTTTCCATTTTATTTAATCAATTTTCCAAATAACACTCTAAAGTGTGATGTGCAGTTTAATTTAGCCCCCTTTCACTCTGATACCTCTAAATAATACCCAGTTGTTTTTATAAGGTAAATAATATTTCCTTGCTGTTTCCTTGGTAACGATGGCAATGTCTGTTACTTATTTTCACAGTTGCTGACTGCATGTTGTGCTTACGACGTTATGTTTTCATGATGCCAAGCGCTTTGAACTGTCTTGTTGCTGAAATGATGTTGCACAGTCGATCAATCAAATAAACTTGACTGATCGATTAGTAAAACAGGTGAATCCTCATTTTATGGGGAGTTACTCCACGAACCTCAGTGGCTTTACTGTCGGATCATATTTTGAAATGTTTAATGCTGGCAAAAAGGCCTTGAAGACGCATAAAGGCAAAGACAACTTTACTTCACTCTTCATCCCCCAGTCTTCCTCCTTCATCAGACACTGAAAGCCTCCTGACTGGAGTCCAACGTAGCCCTGGCTGCCAGCTGGAGTACCCCTAACCTTTCACCTCTGACCCCCAGCATCACAAAATTTATCACAGAGCCCTCAGCTGGACGAACACAGAGGGGAGCATATTACAAAAAAGAAATACTGAGCAAGAACAGGTGCTAGGCATGAATACAGGTGGGACACGTGTTTTTCCACTTCTCCAACTCCTCTGGACTCACCGGATCCATAGATCCTCGGGGTTTGTTTGTCACGCTCTGAGTGTGCGTCGGTTTCTGTTTGCGTGTCAAGGCTCCATCTATCCTGATGCTCCTGGTTTAAAGAGAGGACCCTGCTGTTCCTTAATGAAAAGCTGTCTGCTACAGAAAGATTGAGTTACAAGAGCAAGGTTCTTTCATCCTTATTGAAGAAACATGTGCCTCCTTCTGCTTTCAATACAGACAACATTTTACACAAACCTGGTCAGTTTATGGTCTCTTTTAAGAGAGCTGCAACAAAACAATGTTAGCCAAGATTTTTTGCCTCACATTTCAAACACCAATGTTGCAAAAATGAAAATACAAAACTCAACTAATGTGACACGAATTTAATGGCTTGCCCTAGTTAGTTTTCTTTGTAAGGGTGAATTTGAATACTACTATTCTTTTGTATATTTACAACTGCATTTGTATTCCATAAAATTAAAAACAAAGTCAGTAAAAGTAAAGAGATGAATATACAAATTGACATTCAACTTAGGATTCAGTGAAGTTCTTTTAATACCTGCAAATATGCTACCATACGGGTTTGTGTGGAAACAATACCACACTATTCATGTTAAGAGAATTTTTTAAAAATGAGGCTGAAATTAAAGACCTAACAAAGGAGAACAGAAATCCAAATCTAAGATTCACAATCAAGCAAATTAAAGAGAGATTAGAAATAAATCATTATCCATGACTTAAAGTCAGATAAAGTCACATTTTACAGTAAAGTGATGAAATTTGTCTGACAAAAAGACAAGTTTAGATTTTGCATGTCCATTTTGTGTGGTTAAACTTGACTTATTATGGCTTTTTCTTTGTAGTGTGAGAACATAAATAATTTGTGAGAATCAAGATATTACTCCATGTGACTGGGCTGAGGTTTAGGACGGGAAACTTTTTTCTTCCAGAGAAAAAATTCAGACCTTGTGAGGGAATGTGTTATAGTCTGATGAAATCAAAAACCCACAGTGAAACATGGTGGCAGCATCACGCTGTGGGGTAAAATTCTTCAGATGAACTATGAATGGAGCAGAAACTCAGTCAGCTTTGAACCTAAACCTTCAGATTTTTGCTTGAAAAGCAGAAGCTGCAGCATAAACCGCTTTGCTTGCCATTGCAGTGGTCCAGCTATACATACAAATTGCTCAAAAGATGGGCAAAGAGACCAGAATTCAATTTGACAGAGAATTTGTGGGATTGTATTTTCCCCTCATTTGGAGAGAGTTAAAGAACTTCTTGAAAGTAGACATGGGAAATTTTTACCAAACCAAGTTTGGGCTCGCTGAAGGACTGCAAACAGAAGGAGTGATTGTTGAAATTGAATCAAAATTCAATAAAGCTTCAGTTTAATGCTGAGCATTTTTTAATTTCCCCTAACAGATGGTTTTGCTTTTTGTTGAATTGTACATAAATGTTACGCTAACATGGCTTAAAATACGTTATCATGGATTTTCAACAGAGGCATGTAAACGTTTAAACTCCTCCTTATGCATGCGCTTCCTCCAATGTGCTCCAGCAATTACTGTCAACTTTTTTTTTTTTTACATCGGAAAAGATTGAAATTTAAAAGTCACCATGAATTAAACTAACACAATGATGATGCTCGCTGTGCTGCTTGCTGCAAATGCACCAGCACCAGATGAATCTGACTGAGCAGGGTTACTGCGAGGGTTACTGTTACATTGTTGGTTTACATAGCCCTGTGAACTTCCCTGAGGAAACGCATGCCAGAGCAGGATTTTACCAACCTCTCTCAATCACTCCCAGCTGGGCTCATGACAGGAAATGCTTCTTTCTCCTGAAGCACTCGCTGAAACATGAAGCATGTTGCTTTATGAGTACGTCGCCGCTGAGAACTCGCGTTGAACTGTCTTTGCTGGATCTAAAAGCGTCCTTTATGGTCAGCCGCCCTCCTCTTCTACAAGAGCTCGCTTGACCTTTCGAAAGTGGTCAGCTATGTTCAGAAGGAAAAGCAACTCCTGGTTTCAGAAGGTGCAAACAGCGTCATGTCAGTGATTCCTTAATGACGGCGAGGTCAGCTGCACAGTGTTTAAAAGGTCTAATGGACATCTGAGCCGGCTTTGGTGTCAGACTTATGAAAGCAGTTTAGCAAGGAAGCAAGCAGCCTCAGGCCAGCAATAACAGAGTGGAACTGATTAAAGAAGAGGAGAGGAACGGGGAGAAGAGAGGAAAAATGAGACAGGGACTGATAGCATCTTTTTCACCAACATGATGATATTAGAGAGCTAAAGGCGCAATAATTTCTCAGAAGATGTTGTTTTTTTAGCTGCTTCAGAAATGTAAACAGTAACTAAACATCTACAATATGGAAATATTTGGCTGAAAGTTATAGTTAAAATAACAGTTGTTATCCTTAAGTTTGACGGGAATTTACAAAATTTTCCAAAACAATCTAAATTACTGCATCAGGATAAAAGTGGAGTCCTGATTTGAACACATTTGATTTCTCTAATTGGAGTCAACCTCCTCTTACAGCTAACACTCACATGAATCTGTGATGTTTTATCTCTTTAAACTTCAATAAATTGTATTCAAATATTATACAATTAGAAAATAATTGTAAGGCAAAAGGAAAAGAGTATATGGCTCTGAAGTTTTATTGTGTTTTTTTTTTTTTACAGAAATATGCAAGAAATTGAGCGTGTGTTCATATTTAGACAGTTTCTGATACCTTGACTTATATTGCAGTGAAACCAATTGGTTTTTAAGGTCACCCCAGAATAACTAAAGTCCATTTGTGTGCAACCTAGTCCTACTAATCCAGATTGCCTGTGAAGGCCTATTATTAGGGAACGTTAGTGAACAAACAGCGTCATGAAGACCAATAAACACAGCAGACAGATTGAGGATAAGACTGTGGATAAGTTTAAACTAAAACAGCATTCAAACCTTCAAACATTCCAGAGATCACTGCTCAAAACATTTTCTAGAAATAGAAAGAGCACGACACAACTAAAAACCTAACAAGACACGGCCATCCATCTGAACAGGCTGGGTGAGGGTCGCATTGATCAAAGAGCCAGCCAAGAGGAGCCTGGGGAGCTGCAGAAATCCACAAGTCTTGTGGGAGAATCTGTTGACAACACAACTATTAGTTGTGCACTCCACACGTCTGGATTTTATGATAGAGTGGTTAAAAAAAAAAAAAAAAGCCACTGTTGAGAGAAAGTAATGAAAAGGTCTGTTTGCAGTTCGCCACAAGCCATCATGGGAAAGCCAGACATTGCTTTTCTCGTCAACCCTTTCCAGTTCATTCTGGAAGACCCCAAGGTGTTCACAGTCCAGGGGGGATATTTAGTCCCTCCTATGGGTTCTGGGTCGGTTCTGAGACTTCTCCTGCTGGGAGAGAGTAAAATTATATGCTCTGTGTCCACTGTGGAAAAAATTACGCATCAATAAAACCCCCAAAATGCCGTGACTCTCATCTGGTGGTGTGTGCTGGTAAAACTTCTGTGACTGAAACAAATGTTTGGAAAAACAGTCCCATGATTGTCCGTGTGAAACAGCAGAAAAGTTATCACTTTCCCATTAAATTTGTGGATAAAGAATTAAAGAGTTATGAGGAAAGCAGTACTTGTCTTTTCTTACCGTTTTACAACATACTAAATCTAATTCAAGGGACAATTAGCTTTTCCATTCCATTGTTTTTGTTGCGTGAAATTCCCCTAGAACATGTAGGCAGCTAGCTTTTCCATGTCATATGACTAAAATGGGGTAACACAACATCAACATCTTTCAGTTAGTGGCTTTATCTGTATCCCATCTTTTATTACAGTTATGGTCAGAATTATTAGCACTTCCTGTGAAATAACTCAAAACTCTTAATATTTCCATGG